ACTCGAGTTTCGCTCTTATTAGAGCTCATCAGCGGTGCATATCCAATGACCGTGCCGGGATTTGAACCCCGGACATCTGACATGCGAGGCGAGCGTGTAACCACTACTCCACCAACGCACTCCACCAACCAACGGAGGTTTACAATTGCGTATGCTCCCTCAAGCGCCACCGAGTTCCTGTTCCGGATGAGCTCGCACCCGCATTGCTCAAAGACGGGGGTGAAGTCAACGCTTGTCTGATCCGTTTGTTTTCATTTGGGAAAAGGGTTCTGTCCCAGTCAACTAGGGAGAGTCGGTGATGGTATCCATTTTCAAAAAGGCGCTCGTAGTGAGTGGTAACCACAGGGGGATCAGCTTGACCCCGGGCGTAACGAGACTGCTGGCGTCAATCGTTCTTCGTCACCTTACGGTGGCTTGTGAGATACTGACTTGAAGGCAGCAAGCGAAAACCCGCCCTGGGATGGTTTGCGTTGACCATATCTTCACACTCCGTCAGGTACTAGAACAACGCCATACGTATGAGCGCTCCACAATTCTAGCATTCCTGGATTTCCAAGGCGCATTCGACTCGGTCAATCAGTCTGTGCTTCTTGACACACTTGCCCACCAAGGAATGTCTTGGAAGTTTGTGAACATAGTACTTTATTTGTATTTTCAGTGAAGCATCGGTGTTGAACACTGTTGTCATGTTGTCAATGATGATGATGATTCTCAGATTTCCGGACATGTGAGAGTATATGACGAGCTATCCAAAAGCTCCCGTATACAAAGCGGTGTCCGTCAGGGTCGCCCACCCTCTCCATTCCTTTTTAACTTCGTGATCGATGAGATAATGAGGCGAACGCTGGAATGTTTCCAAAACCCTGGTGTTCACATAGCCTGTGAAGAAAAATTGTCGATCTGGAGTACGCGGATGACATATTTCTCAAGAGGAGGAGAAGGCGCAGGTGTTTTTGGATGAACTGACTAAAGTCATTCCGTCCTTCGGTATGCACTTTGCACCCACAAAGTGTAAGGTCATACTCGTGGACATGCAGTCACTGAACGCGCCACTTACAATCCAGGGATAGGTACTGGAAGTTGTGGAGCGTTTTACGTATCTTGGAAGTTGTATTAGTTCGGACTGCAGTGCGACAGATGAGGTCAATGCACGAATCTGCAAGCATCGGATCGCGTTTGTTAATTTGAGACACCTATGGCGTCAGTGGTTTATCCCTGAATCTCAAATGTCGTGTGGATCAAGCTACAGTACGGGATGTTTTGTTGTATGGCTGTGGCCTATTCGAATAGCGGAACTGAGACGTCTTCAGGTGTTCGACAATCGTTGTCTCGGAACTGTAGCTCGTGTGGATTGGTGTCGGCGATTCCATAATGAGACAGCTAGAAAGCGCGTTTTTGGTTGTGCAGCGGGCACGTTCATTGAAGAATGTGTCCAGCACCAGAAGCTGCGTTGGGTGGGACATGTGTTGCGTATGCCGAACCATCGTTTGCCGAAGAGCCTGCTGTTTTCCATGCCCAACTCAGAGTTGGGAAAGCAGAGAGGTGGCTAACTTTTGACTTGGCAGAAGTGTATGAAGGAGATTACGGAACGCTTGGGTGCTGTCGACGCTACTCGCCTCCCAGGATGGGGATCGCATGATTCCCACTGGTTGGAGACATTTTAGGATATGGCTTCCGGCCGATGTCAGTGGCGCTCTCGTTAGTTTCTATCCAGATTGCCCGAGTGGATGTCTGGAGGTGTAGGCACCTCGGAATGGTCGTAGTAAGCTTCTACATTTGTTGTTTCCTTTACAATAAGGCTTTCAAATAAATCATGGTTGTACGGCAGTGAAGCATCGGTGTTGAACATTGATTTCATTCTGTCGATGATGTTGATGACGATGAACGATGAAACTTTTCGAGAAACAAAAAAATATGTTCACCAAGCTCTCATACCCTAGCGTACTGTACAGTTTGGCCGTCGCATCCAACACCTGGCTTTGATTCTCCGAGCCTCTTTCTACTCGATGAACGAATCTGTAGCAGCTGGAAGCATTGTACTTCGGTACCCGGTGTGTGAGGTGTCTGACTGACTGATGTTTTGGTGTCGATGGTGTTCTTGTCATCAATTTCTTTGTGGTTTGTCTGTTTGAGCCTTTGGAGGTGTAGGAAGGTCAGAATGTTTGCGTTAGGGTAGCGCTAGCCCCTTTTCATGTGCAGTCTCCCTTTTTACTTCACAATAACTTTACGGTTGTATGGCGCCGAAGCATTGGTGTCAGCATAGCTCTGGGCATTTGTGACAATGATGATTGGGGAAAAATGCCATCCCATACTGATCGTGGAGCTGCTGGTGCGACTCAAAATATTGAGTGGGTACGCGGTAATGTAGAACGGACATGGACGGTGTTTATTCTCTTCGCACACCATCCAGTCTGAAAGCTATGTGACAAGTGATGCGCTCTTCTCACACGCGCAAACAGTACTGCGACACGTGTACTGTCACACCTAGGCGGTCTTGTGGTTAGATGGTTGAGTCAGACGGAACAAACTAAGTTGGCATACTTATCGGAGGCTTCTTATGTCTCTTCAGGTTGTTCCCTGTTTATCTGTAAATTCCTGCTACTTGGTCCTTTTTCTTTCCGAATTGTGGGTGGAATCAGTGGTAATTGAACGCGATGTATCTAGCAAATGGAGACTTTTAGTTGGTATCCATAGTGTCACCGAACGGCAGGTGCATCCATTAACATTGATTTCGACCCATTCCAGGATGTTCGAGAGATGACCAATGCTGTTATGTTACTCGACTCCTTCTCACCTGATTGTTCGCTCCCTGTTCTGTTGAGACGTCTTAAGCGTCGCTTTTTTCTGAACCTAATCTCACCATATACCATATTCCATTGGCCTCTTTTCACGGGAGTTTATCATTAGGTTTGCACTCAACTGAGCGGACCTGATTCCTGGCAGATGTCCTAGTAAAAACAATGGTCCAGCGCTTCAAGGCCACAAGACACACCGGGAGTAAAATGTTAAAAATGTTGATCTCAGGATAGTTTAAGATTTATGGTTAAACGTGAGTCCTGTATGTGTTTTGGATGCAGTGAATACGATAAATGTTAGATCCTAAGGTCCTGTTTACCGACACAATATACGAGCGTTGTCGGCTCCTGCGCGGAACATGTTAATGAATTTACTAACGTGTTGTTTTGTGTACTGTTGTTAAGGTTGAGATCGGATCTCATGGTGATGTAATGGTTTGCGTACCCCAAGAACTCAATGAGGTATACATCTACAGAATCTCTATCATCGGATTGGTTGGTGGATGGATCTGACAAGGACAATCCATTAACCATTGAGGTTGATAGTTGTAATAAGCGTAGCAGTTTATTCCTCAGAATTCGGACCATCCAAGTAGTTTCGCGCCATCATTGTGTTATGGCCATTCTTTTAAGCCAAGCGTTTTGCTTGAGAACCCTAGTCATCCTGACTGGATTTGGGTGCCCTGACAATATCTCAGCCCACTTACAACCATGAATTTCACAAATAAAATTGCCTTTGTGCATCATCAGACGTCTCGTCATGACATCAGCTGGGTCGCATTCGTCGCTGCGCACAGCAGAGCAGATGAGTGAAAGCAGTCGGCGGCTGACATCTTCATTATTATCTCTTAACTCCCCTTCTGTCTCGCTTGATCATCCATCTTATATAGATCCCAGCCGTAGACACATCACTCAGACACGTCGCACGCCACCACTCATATCTATCGCTCCGGACCCGTAATTCAAGCCTCGATTTCATATTTTGGTTCCCACCTTTGAGATGCGAAATCCTGGGCAAATCGGTCAACAAGCCGCTCTTGCACTTTAGTTACTTTACCGATTGACATCTATCGCTTCTCCGAAACTGGAATACAGGATACAAGTACGCTTGTTGGGCTTACAACACCCGCTTTATCTAGACGCTACCGACTAGGACTTTAGATGGTACTACAACCTCTGCAACTGATAACGCCCGTGATCTATTTCTTGGTTTCATTGCTGTTTCATTGATCAACGGGGTACCTGTAAACATCGGATTCATCATGTCTATTTATCACTCATCTGCCTTTTCTGTCAGTTCCTTTTTCCATTTCCTCTTATCTTTGCTTATCTTATCTTATCTTAGCTTCACTACATATAGTGGAGTCACATTCGACGAAGAAGGTTGTAAGAGTGAAAATAAACCATCTATTGAGTTAAAGCAGCTGATATGACATGTTTTTGTCTAACCCTCTTACTTATTACTACTCTTGCAGTCTTAGCCGTTGCTGCTGCTAGCAACATGAGTCTGTTTGGAACCCAAAAATTGTTCGGTGGAACACAATCTTCTCCATTCGGCTCAACCCCCTCGACTTCCACAGCACAACCCGGTTTCGGTTTTTCCACTGGCTCAGCTGCTCCTACTTCACTCGGTACGTTTACTTTTGGAACCAGTTCGGCTGCTGGAACGTCGGGGTTATTTCAGCCAGCTGTCCAGAAAACCACTGCGTCTACGAATCTGTTTGGCCTAGGAACTGGGACGAGTCCGTTCTCTACTTTCGGTGCTAATGTCTCGAAACCAGCAACATCACTGTTCAGCTTCTCTGCCCCGTCAACCCAACAAGCGACCGGGTTCTTTGGTCCGCAGTCCTCCCTCGGATCAACGCTCAAACCCATCCAGCCTGTCACCGGATCGCTTTTTCAAACACCAGGAGGTATTTCCCTTCAATCTCGAGGTTTCTTGGTTCACACTTATTAGTACCACTAGTGATTAATTGTTGTCCTTTCGTCGTGTATGGATCCGCTATATACCACACCTGACAGCCGTTCAGTGAACTTCCTCGTAGCATACCAAGTACTGTCATAAATGTATCGGATGTCCGTTGACTTTTGCCATGATTGTATGTTTCGATTTCTGCAATCAACCAATGCTGCAATGGTCAAGCTCAGCGTTTATGTTCTTCTAACCAATTTTTAATGCAGCTCCACAACCGTCAAGCACAAACCCGGAAAATGAGAGCATCCGAGGCTCATCACATGTGAATGGTTTGTTACTGCAGTTACTATAACCCCACCCCTTTCGTATAATGTGCCTGAAGGATCCAATCAGAAATAGTCTATAGTGAAGTATAGTAATGATTCAGATCTGCTAATCTTTCGATGGCTAGTTGTCATATCCAAGTCTAGCCAGGTGCAGTCGAAATGCCGGGGTTCGGTTCGAACCACGAACCTTCCGGTGAGTAAGATCGCCTCTTACTCACTGAGCCATGTCGAACCGTTAGTGGTGGAGAGGTTGTGGGGTATGAGGTGTGAAGAAGGTTCTCCTTGCCGGGGTTTCGAACCACGAACCTTCCGGTGAGTAAGATCGCCTCTTACTCACTGAGCCATGTCGAACCGTTAGTGGTGGAGAGGTTGTGGGGTATGAGGTGTGAAGAAGGTTCTCCTAATCTTTGGTAAGGTCAAAGCTATTTTGATGAGAACTAGTTGATGAACACGGGACCTCGCAAGGCAGCTGCTGGTCATCAGATTAAATAATATACTAGACGTGTAGAGTGAATCTGCGCACCGTTGAATAAACGGAGTTCAGTAGATGGTTGTGACACGTGGAAAGGAATAAGAAAACCGAAGTTTGAATTTACAACTAGTTTCTCTGTGCATATAACGGAACTGCTGCAATTTTTCGACACATGCAGACAGTGGACTTGAGATGCTAAACGGAATGTGTTGATTTGGTATCCACGAGTTGCTGGCTCGAGTGAATGTGATGCGGTGAAGCGAATATAGTATCACCCGGAGCAATACATCAACGGAAGCACGAGGGTAGATTACCTGGCTGATTATCTTGCTTCGCTATGTGTACAATGCGAGAGAAAACAATTCAACTTTTCGGACAACATCAAGCGCAATCTTTGTGCTAAAGTTGGAGTAGTTCCTGAATGAGCACCCCCCTGCACGCATTAAAAATGCCAAGCTTTCAGAAGGCTGCACAGCAGACTTGTTACTGCACGTGATGCAATTGCGATGTGGTTTGGATATTAGCCGTCAAAATTTTCCTAGTAAGCAGTGTCCAAGTCTTGTTAGTTGTGACTTTTCACGTAGGTTTCATTTTAGTGGTGTGATATTCATCCAAGTAAACTTAGTATATTATTAGATTTGATGACTCGCGGATGGCTTGTAAGGTCCCACAGTACATATTGTGTTTGGACCACAATGAGATCAGTAGTTTCTCACTGTACATCTTCGGAATGTATAGAAAGGGCTATATCGACTGGACTTAAAATCAGCAAAACGCAATATCCCACCACCGCCAATATGAATATCGCCCTAAAACCCGATTAACCGGCGATGTCGTAAGTGAGCAGGCCATACATACTGCTCTGTCTATATCATAGGTGGGTTTTTCTTAAATTTTCGCGCGGATCTTGTATGCTTATATTCAAACCGACCCCAAATGCGCTAGTTTAGAGCATCTTTCTTCAGTGAGGTCTGTATCATCGACAGAAGTGTGATATTGAAACCCCTCGAAAAAAAATCTCCGTTGAGAGGTTGCACTCATTGCCCGACCTCGTTTGGGGGATTAACATACCTGCGTGATCGCTACTCAGAGACGATATTGTCTTCACTTTGTTATAACCGAACGAACACAAAACAGCGATACAAGCCCTCTTTTCTGGAGGAACTTGGCTCTTCTCATTTAAGGACCACTGCTGGACACGGATCACTCTTTTGTTCCACGGGGTCACCTGTATTGGATGGATTTGACTGCATGTTATCTTTATACCAAGCAAGTAGTGTGAGTCGGAAATATTAACCCACACAAGTACATAAAAGGCTTGTTCAGTTTAAAATACGCATCAAGCTTTTTTGCGACTTGCTTTCAGAAGCACGCAGGAAATGTATTCAGTTGGTGGTATTTCCATCTTTTCTCAAGGGAGTAATTTTAAATAGAATGTGCTTCATAAATTTTCTTGCTGGTCCAAACTTAAGGGTGTTCTGTGCCTGGTCCCATCATCCAGTGGGAGTTTCAAGGAGCCAGCCGAGAGAGGCCCATCCCCAGGGAGATAAATACATCTCTGAGAAGCGGGACATGACCTGTTATGTTGTGGATTTCGTTCCCGTTCACCAACTTAACCATATGCCGATACGTGCCAGTTCCACCCGATTTGGTAGGCAGTTTGATTGCTTGGCAACTGTGAACTCCTCCCTGTCACTTATCTGGCCTATTTGGATAGACCGATTACACAGCACATTGTGTTAGATTTTTGTATTTATTGGGTTTCCCATAGCTATCAGCACGTGTCCTTGCTCCCGACGGGAACTCCAGGTACCATAAATTAATTTCTTGTAAACAGCTCTGTCGCACCCTTGTCGAAATTTCTAACTACTTGTATCAAATAGAGTAGCATTGACAGTTTCCATGTGCCTACAAGAGATGTCCAGCTATGCGCTGTGCCCACGAACAAGGTAATTAAAACAGTCCGGTGGATTGGTCGTTCAGGTAGCAAAAAACTTCACTTAGCTGAGCGGGTGAACGACCTGTTTTTTTATCCCCACACGGGTTCTTTCATGCTGACTTGCAACCTGTTCGTTCGTTTCATAGAGGCAAAAACCAAGTTTTGACTTCACATTCACCGAAGGTATTAGTAAAGTGGTCAAATGTTTTTATTACCCTTAAAAGCGTGGGGTTCGCCAACTCTTATATTTGGTGCATGTGCTTCAAGAAAAAAATGTGTTCATTGGTTTTTGCCAAAGATCTGATCTGGTCTGTGCTAGCCCGTTCGGAAGTACCTTGAGGATAACTTTTTCGCCTACTTCGCAAGATGCAGTGGTTAACAGCTTGCCATCTATGGTTCGAATTTTTTTCTTTAAAGGCGTTAGCTTAACTCTCCGAGCGTACTTTGATGGTGAGAATTCTGAGCAAGGTGTATAACCTTTGGCGTTAATCACTACTCGGCTACCAAAACGACTTGCCAGCATGTGCAGTTCCAGAATCATGTGCGAGTGGGTCCAGTAAGACAGTACTGGTGGCTATACAACGGACGACATCAGTTGCTCTTCTGTGCGAGGTTGATCAACGAAGTCGTCAACCAAGCGTTTCTTATCCGGAGAGATCTTTTATTAGTGACCGAAAGCTCAGCGATCACATTTTGTAATTTTGCTTGTTCCATGGGTCAGCAATTTTGAAGTTTTTCTCGTCGCAAACAAGGTGGTTTTCTCTTCTCGCGGTTCTTCTCCACAGGGTACTCTGTGAAAGTCCTTTGTGACGGTTTCCTCTTATTCCGGGTTCTCTAGTGGTGGTACAGCTATATCGTTGAAGCCTAGCATCTTTTTTTGGTAAATTTCAATACTTACCCTGTAACAGTTATTTTTCACTAGTGGCTAATCACACTCTCTAGGATATGCTACCGAAATGACCACTGCCTGACCGTAATCGCGATGGTTCCGGAATAAACGTCGTATTCGATCACTAGGACAATAAATCACACAAGTCCGTTCGCCTTTGTGTTTGACCATCACTTATCATATCACATGCAGTGCACCACCAGATACAGTGACCACCCTACTTGGTGGTCAATCACCCTAAAGAATAAGTTCCAGACTTTTCAGACCGAATTCGTTGGAACAAATTGTTGGTTTGTTACTTGACCTTCAATTGCAGCCAAACGTGTTTGGGCATCAGCACCGCGATTTAAAAAAACAGTAATGAAGTGGTCTCATTCTGACGAACTCAAACTCGATTTTCCCAATTGCAGTTGCTCCATTGGACTAAACGTACATATTTTTCTTTGTTAAACAGTTTTGGGAGGAAACTTGGCTCTTCAGCCACAGCAACAACAACAACAGCAGCAGCAACAACAGCAAAACAGTCTTGATGCTTTCTTTGCCTCACTTTGCCAACCGCTTCTGTTTGGAGACGAACGAGACGCCATCATTGCACGTTGGAACCAACTCCAAGCCATGTGGGGGACGGGAACTGGTTACAGTGCCCACGGAATAGCCACCTACACACCTGATAATACGTTCGCCCGATTTAAAGCAGTTGTGTACAATGCATTGCCGACAAGCACTGATGCTGATGGGCTTGTATGTATCTACTTAGCCCGGTCGTTCTCCGAAGTTTTGCCGCAACGGCAGGCACTTCAAGATACACTGTTCCGTCTTCTCGGTGGCCGTCCGAACTTACAGCTCACAGTCGAAGAGATTCGGCCGTGTGTGGATCAGGAGAACCACACTGAAGTCATATTGAAGGTGATCGAGAGACAACCAGCAGGTTCGTTTCATATAGTTATCCTTATGCGGCTATTTTGTTTTTTGGTATATTTGCCCGCTTAAACGTTCACCTGTGCTAATAGACCTCTCTACTTGAGGTCAACGAAGTTTTATTCCATCATCAGCCCTATGTTTATTGCGTTTCGCCAGGGGACATCATGTCTCGATACCAAAGAATTCATATAGTACCTTAAAAAGATGAGAATAGAACAAAAACTAACCGTACATTTCATTCGATAATTCGTCATCATTACTTCGGACGCGTAACCATCTAACTCTACCTCCGCAAATCGTCAGCAAACGAGACTGGCAGCTATAACCATCGTACAACGTGGTATTTAAGGCTGATGATGGTGGCACTCCGTATCTTCTAAAAGATTATCAATTGCAAATTCATAAACAGGACTATTAAATTCTTCAAGAAGCAGAATCATCGGCTCAAAGGTTTAACCACAGTCTAGCGTTGATTGTCGTGCAACGACCAACGTAGTATAGGAAACACCGAATGTCACCGAATGGACACCAAAAGTATAGCTCAATGGATCGTGGAAGCATGGGGAATCCAGTCTCTTCCTACTGAGTGCAACGACAAAGGTTCTTCACTTATGAGTTTTATAGCCAACTTTTAGTTTCAAGACCTACTTTTGTACGCTTTCACTTCGTGATCTGCGCGAATCTCAGCCCATTACGCCTTGTCTGCTGAAATGAGAACATTGGTTGTTTTGTTACCGCGGTCTACCTTGCGGGAAGTTGGCAACGCCAAAATACTGTACGTCATTCTCTGAGTCTGGACAATGCCGCAGCCAAACTGGCTGAGTAGCGTTGTATCTCACAGACTCGATGAACGCCCACCCCAACTTGATCTTGCCCTCCGTTGTTCAGGACCATGGTGTCTTCGGAACTTTTCAACCACCCACTTCTGTACCATTTTCAGGGCATATTACAAATATTGGAGCCAGTGACCTCGAACGGTATTTGTCAAGTCCCACCGTTGCTCCCCAACTACAGTCGCAATTGTGCGCATACAAACTCACATCGGAGGTTCGCCCTTCCCCCGCGCAGCTGGCGGCGTATAAAGAAAACCCGCCGGCTGGTATTGACCGCCTAATTTGGCATCAGGTTAGTAGTTTCGTCACTTCCCTTTCCCAGAAATTTGATAATCGCTTTCGGCTGCTATGGTATTTCTTTAGCATGTACACCCAATCCATTTTTATACTTGCACGCTAAAAACAAAAAATGGCATGATACTGCGATGGGTATATTGGCTCCTTTATCGTTATCCCTATCGTGGGAAGCAATACACCAGCAGCAGAAACTGGCGCTCGGCTGCTGCACAGCCACGGACGAAGAAGAACCTTAGCTCCAACTCATGAACAGATTAGTCATTCTTCTGGCTATCGAAAAGCTATCCTGAACTTGACTGTTACCGGTTGACTGTCCTGTATTAGAGGGTCAGTAGCCTTAGTGTTGATGGTTAGGCAGTACAAATTGGCCCAATGCGACTGGGGTTATTTTTCAGTGAATTTCTTCTGTGTGGGGGTTTATTGATTCGAATAACGTTGCGTACCGCTACATCCGTAGTAAGTTCGGCACAAATGTGGCCAAATTTTTTTCCATCGACAGGATCCGTGGATTGTTAGCTGTCTTGGTTCTCGGTTTTCTTGAAAACGGGGCCTATATTGTCCCCGAGAATAGCAAAACTGGTGGTGAGCTTTTCCGAGGTTTCGTCGACCTTATGAATATGGTCGATATGTTGAAAACCGTTCCATCTGAAAACGAAATTGCCTTTGCGCTGCAAATTCAGTTGTAATGTGGTATAAACACTGAAATTCCACCGAGGCTCCCGTCAATACCCACTCACTTAAACTGAAAGTCAGTGTTTATCACAGCATACGATTTGGTTGGTGAAAATTCGGGAACTAGGGCTATCTGATTAGTCCCAAAAACTGCGAACCCAGTAGACAGCTGGCAACCCTATAATTAGTGAGGTATGTGAAGAAACGATACTGATATATATATATATATATATATATATATATA